TATTTTAAAAAATTTAAACACGGCACAAACACGGCGCAAACAAGGCACAAACATAGCAAACTTTGGCGAGTTCGTTCAAACATAAACATATTTTACAAAAAAAAAACCGGCGGGCTACTCCCGCCGTCTCCCTCGCCGCCCGCCTCGCCGCCCGCCAAACGCGTCTACATGCCGAGGAGGCTGTAGAACCGCGTGTAGTCACCGCCGTCGTCGTCGTCGTCGTCGTCGTCGCCGCCGCTGCCGCCCCCGCCTAAACCTCCGCCGTCCCTGCTGCACCCCTCCCCCGGTTGGCGCGGCGGGTTGGAAGGCCCGGGGGCGTCGTCGTCGTCGCTGTCGAGGATCACGACGCCGTGCTCGTCCTCGCGCCCGCGCTTGCGGGCGGCGATCTCCTCCAGGGCCCGGCACTGCCGGACCGTCTCCTCGCGGAGGTAGTCCTCCCGCGCCCACCGCATGGCGTCCTCGTCGGAGAAGCCGCGCCGGGCTATCTCCTCGTACTCCGCGGGGAGGCCGGGCTCCTTCTTGGGCTCGACGAGGCCGGGCTCCGGCTTGGGCTCGACGAGGACAAAACGGCCGGCGGGGCTCCGGCTTGACGGGGCGCCAATACGGACGCCGGAGCTGCGGGTGCGCGCGGCCACAGGCGTGTCCTGGGGCTCCGGCTTGACGGGACGGAGGCAGGGCGAGCCGCCGGACGAAGAGGAGGACCCCCCCGGTCTCCATGCGCCTCGGGGTCCAGGAGCTTCCCCGGCGGCGTGAAAAGGAAGGGGGAGCGGGGTAGTCGAGGCGCGGCGTGTTACCGCCCTCGATGTACTCGAGGACGGCGTCCAGCGTGCGCCCTGGCACGCCCCACCATTGACGCCGGCCGGCGGAGTTTTGCCTGCCGGAGGGCACGACGCCGTTGGTGGCCTCGAGCTGCTGGGCGTGACGGCGGCGGAAGTAGGGCTCCCACAGCGGGTTGTCGGGGGCGTACCGCGGCGCCTCCCTCGCCGTAGGCGGCAGGTTCGACTGGATGCGGGCGATCTCCGCGTGCCGCACTGCGCCGGAGGGTACCGGTGGTACCGGCACGCCGCCCGCGCTGATCCTCCACGCCCCGGGCACCCGCATGTCCGGCGGGACCGGGTACTCGACCTCGTAAAGGAGGCGAGCCTCGTCTTCATGGAGATGGCGGCGGCCGAAGCCGTTCGCCGCCGCGCCGTCGCCTCGGAAACATTCGGCCATTGGAAGGCGGCGAAAAGGTGGAGAGGAGAGGGAGGAAGGAGCGACGGCGGAGGGGAAGGAGCGACGGCGGAGGGGAAGTGTGACGAACGAGCGCGCCGGGGCGCGGCATATATAGGCCGACGCGCCGCCCACACGCGTGGCACCGTGCGTACGCGTGGCGGGCGAGGCGAGGGCGAGGGACGCGCGTCGTCCGGCCTTCACTGCGCCGCCCGTGAAGCATCAATGGCGCAGGCTGACCGGCGCGGTAGCGCGGCAGCTTTGGCATTGATTCGCCGCGGGAAACGAGGCGATGAGGACGACGAAGGGCCGAGAAGTAACCCGGTCGCTGACGCGTCGGGCCCGCGGTTTCTTCGCGCCAAAAAACTTCGCCCGGCGCCCCCGAGCGCCCCCCAGCGCGCCGGGTTCGGGCTGGGTCCGCGGCCGCTGTTTTCGGCCCAAGCCGGCGAAAATCAGGCTCCTGGGGGCGCGACTGGGCCGTTTTTTCGGCGCCGGCGCGAAAAAATCGCCTGGGGAGGCCTTCTTGGGGGCGCGGCTGGAGATGCCCTTACTGCGGACAATCTCATTCGCCGTGGGTGGCCATCAAATGACTGCTGTCCTCTCTGCATGACAGAGCAAGAGCGTTGTACACACATGTTCGTACATTGTCGATACACACAACATTTGTGGCGATGCTTCAAACGGTTCACAGGAGATAACTTTATCACGCCGGATGCAAGTCACAGTAGCACGGAAGACTGGTGGTTGAAGGCTAGGAGCAGGGTGCCCGAGCTGGTTCGCAGGAACTTTGACACGGTCATCATTCTCATCCATTGGAGGCTGTGGAAGGAAAGGAATGCTAGGATCTTTGAACACACCGCCAGTAGCGTCGACAGAGTTTTGGACCAGATTAGAGAAGATCTTCAAGTCTGGAGGGCAGCAGGGTGTGTTGTGGATCTTACTTTGTAAAAGCCTCTTGTAAAAGCCTCTTGTAATTGGGGTGTTCTATCCTGAGGGTGGCACCCTCGGGAGGTCTTTCAGTGCGAGACCGCCTAGCCTGTCTGACCTTGTTGTACTCTTCTCCTCTTTCTAATAAAATTCGGCCAACGGCCCTTCGAGATGATGAGCAGCGAGTGTTCCCTCAGTAGTAATATTAGTTTAATGCATTTTCTGGTATTCCCAGTGTACAAATGCATACAGCTTGTGTATGTCTTTCATTCATATATATAGAGTAGACAGGTTACTGCAACTGCCTTTGCACTTTTGGGAGCATAGAAAAAAAGAAGGGAAACGTTTGGGAGCGGTGCGCCGGCCGAAGCTTCGGCCGGTTGCGTCCCACGCGCTCATCCCCCAACAATTTTTGTGTCGACACGTAAGGTACGGGGGGCCCACCCCATCCCTCGTCCTGTTTCTTCCTCATCTTCTCGGCCGCGCTGCGCTGCAGCTTTTTTCTCGCCGCAACCTCCTCGACCAGGCCGACAGCATCTCGCCGGAGATGAGTCGCCAGCGGAGATGGCTGCCAACTCCCTCCCCCCTCCCCGCGGCCAATTTTTCCTTCGCGCGGGCGCCTCCCCCATCCATGCCGTTTTCCTGCAAAAGAGAGCGAGGACGGCGGCGTGTGGCGACCACTGGGACCTCGACGACAGAATTCTACGACGGCACGACAAGGGATGTTGCAACCGCTTTCGCGAGTTGCTGGAACCACGCGACGAAGGAGCTGCAATCCATGGTGGAATTTGCTACAACCATTATGTGCCTGTCGTGTGACCCCCCGACGATGGCGACAACACTTTGTGGCAACCACATAGTGTTTTTGCTACTACTAGCGGCAGAAATTGCTACAACCAGTGACGACATTTGTTACATTATTTGTGAAGATGATGCGACCCAGAAGATGGCGACATTTTGTTTGCTGCAACCGCACATTTTTTTGCTACTACCAGCTACAGGATTTGCTACATCGTTCATGAAGGAGATGCAACCCATGACGGCGGAGAGAACGTTTTTGCTGCAACCACACATAACTTTTGCTACTACCAGAGACAATAATTGTTACCACCATTAGCGGCGGTAACCGGCGACTAGAAATCAGAAAAGTTGCAACCGGCGACCGGGATGCTACAACCGGCGACCGGGGATGCTACAACCGGCGACTGGGGATGCTACGACAGTGGCCCCATGTGCTGGAACCGGCATAGGAGGGGGGAGGGGGTAGGATGTTGTGACCGTCACCGGCCGTTGGTGCCACGACGCCCTGGGAGGAGGAGAGAATGGAGGCCGGCAGGGCTGCTGCAACCGGAGGCGTGGGGATGCCACAAACAAGGCACCAGGAAACAGCGACGAGCGGGCGTCGGCATGGCCACAAAATAGATGGCAGTGGAGGGGGCTATGACACGGGAGCTGCGATGAGGAGCGGCGGGGCAAGGAGAGGAAGCGGGGGTGCAAGAGACCGGCGACCGGCGGCCGGAGGAGCAACACACGGAGGCAGAGTCGCGTGGGGCAGAGACGGGGAATTTTATTCGGGGATGTGTTGAGAGGAAGAAGACGACTCAGAGGGGGAGGCGAGATCAGATCACACGGCTGTGAGGTGTCAGATCGAAGGGTCCCTGTGCGACCGGCCCAAATTTGGGCCGGTGCGCCGGCGCCTATTGCTGCCCAAAAAAGAAAGGGGATTAATTTTCCATTTTGTTCACATGGGGTTAATCAATTAATATTCACTGGACGAAGTTGTTGTTTGGAAGAAAAATGACCGTATTAAAGGCTGCACTGCAAAGCACGGTCACATCTCACATGTGAACATAGTGCAGAGAGGAGGGAGGGGTCAGCACTGCGCTCTGCTCTCAATTATTGAGCGCTCACTCTCACTCTCACTCCCAGTCTTCACTCCCACTCCCACTGAATTATTGAAGTCCCTTCCTGTTCCTCTCGTCTTTTCCCTCTTCCGTCATCGCCATTACCCCCACGCTGCCGTCTCCAAACCCTCACCACCGGTGGCAGATCACAAGCAGCTGGCAGATGGAATCAATGGAGCACATCATGGAAGATGATGACGCGGATGGTCAGTCCAGCCCATTCTTTTACTGATAACCTTGCTGCAATTAGCTTTTGCATCTTTATGTGGTTGAATCTGGGGCGAACATGATGGATTTCAATCTCAATGTGTACGCCCTGGTTGTCTACCTGTACTGCACATATGCTATTAATTAGGAGTATACATATCGATGCTAAGGACATGTTGCAACAGAACATTAAAGGTCCTTGCAAGAGTGTTCTCGAATGTTTATGTTGAAATTATGCTATACTGTGCTGGAAAAAAGTTGCGATATATTCCAGATTGAGCTGGGAGAAAATGGTGAAAATAAGTTGTAGATTTATGTGGTTGTGAGTTGTGACTGTCTGTTTTGCCATTTCTGTTTTGCATTTTCAGGACCAGCTCACTATGTAATCTTTTACTCCAAGGCCATCCTGTAGATGAATCCTGGATGTTATTAGTATAACTGTCTTCTCTCATAAGCTGAAAAAAACAAAGGTTAAATTTCCTATTGGTTGTGCAACGCTTAGGTCAGGATATCTCATTTTGGAGTTGTGACATGTGGTTGTTCTGCAGGCACATGAATTTTAAGTATCTGGGAGCTTGAGCAAGGACCAACCAGCTTGGGCAGTACTTGGTCTCTGCTTGTGTCTTTATGTGGTTTGAAGCCGCTGAAAGAAATGATGCACACTCTGTCTGTCGATTATTGAGTACTCTTTTCTCTCCTTGCTAGCTAGCTAGGCGGAGACGACTCTGTGTCCGAGAGTGAGAACCAACCATGGAAAGATTTCTGGTGAGTGCAGCTACAGGAACGATGAATTCCCTCCCGGGGAAGCTGGGAACCATCTTGAACAATGAGTACAAGCTGCTAAAGGGTGTTCGTGATGACATCAAGTTCCTCAAGAGAGAGCTCGAGGCCATGGCAGCATTCCTCGTTAGGGTGGCAGACATGGAGGAACCTAACCCCCAATCCCAGCTTCATGCTGACGATGTGCGGGAGCTGTCCTATGACATTGAGGACAAAATTGACAAGTTTATGTTACTTGTCAACCATGAGTCCAGTTCTCAGTCAGAAAGCTTCAAGGAACTTCTTAACAAATGCATGAAAAAGATAGCAGACATCAACACTCGCCATAAGATCGCCAAGGACGTAAAAGACATCAAGAGCCAAGTCAAGGAGCTGGCCGAGAGGCATGCAAGGTAAAGAATGGTTTATCATCATGCCCCAGAATTTTGTATCAAGTTCCTTTGTCTTTCAAGACCTTGTTTTTCCATTAGTGGCTCTCTGGTATCTGCCTTAAATTTTGTCACTTGCTTTTGCTTATATCCAATTTCTTGATCCCCCACTGAAGGTACAAGATCGGCGAGTCTTCCAAGCCTAGAAATGAAAAGGTTGACCCACGACTTTGTGCGGTATTTAAAGATACAACAGAGCTTGTTGGCATCGATGCCCCGAGAGATGACCTTGTGAAGTTGCTAACTGACGAGAAAGGAGAATCAGCATATCAGCTCAAGGTTGTCTCTATTGTTGGAACTGGGGGGCTAGGTAAGACGACCCTTGCTAGACAGGTTTATAACAAGATTGGAGCAAACTTTGATTGTCGAGCATTTGTGCCGATCTCACGAAGCCCTGATATGTCGAAGATCTTGAGTTCTATATTTTCCCAATTGCGCAACCAAGATCAATATCATGCTGGAGCAGGGGATCCAACACTCCTAATTGAGCAAATCAGAAAATTTCTAGAAAATAAAAGGTATGTAACTAGTACAGCTAGTGGTTGCATAACATTCTGAGAAAAATTATTCAACTCTTGCTTAGATTTGTCGTTGGCTGTGTCCTAGTATCTATATGCAACTACTACTTTTATAATCTTTCAAAACTATAAATTGCAAGATGATATTCATAGTTGCGCTAACGACTAAATGATTTGAATATAGGCGCTATTTTCAACCTGCACATGGTTTATATATTGACATATTGGTATGTCTCTGTTTTCGGGCTTCAACTATTTTCCCTTGCCAGTTGTCGTTTGCCAAGCTATTCGATGGGAAATACTGACGCAATTTATCGAATGCCTCCAAATTTAATTCTCAAATATTCAAAAACTTGCTTTTCTACATTACATCATGTGTATCTCTCACTACTAGGGAAAACCCTAGATATTAGCGCGAGTTTTTTACCTAGCAGTAGCGCAGGGTCTCACGCTAAGGCTAGGGTGCTACAGGTAACTTTTAGCAGTAGCACTGGTCTGAGCCCTCGCTACTACTAAGTCAAATATTAGTAGTGTTGGATTGGACCAGCACTATTGCTAAGTACTAGCAGTGTGGGCTTCTACCCCACGCTACTACAATTCGTCCGTATTTCATTTCTTTTGTTTTACTATATTTATACACCATTATACAAATTTTAATACAATAGCAATTAAGAGATTGTTATATCATGATGAATTATTATACCAGTGGGTGAAGAAAACGCGGATTAGATTAAGTGGATGGATTCAAGGTGACCAACATGGATTAGCAGGACGATCCATCCTTCAATCTAATCCGCTTTTCATCCACCGAATGATATAATAACTCATCATGATCATAATAACAACTCATCATCATCATCATCATCATAGTCATATAAGAACTCATCATCATAATAACAACAACAACTCTTCATCATCATCATCATAATCATATAAGAACTCATCATTCTAGAACATTCTAGCACATAACTCATCATCATCATCATCATAATAATAACAAATATTCATCGTCCTCATAGTCATAACCAACACTAGCTAATTGTTCTTAGCACATGATAACTATTAGCTAGAACGTACTCCTCTCTGCTAGGTAAAATAGCATAAAACAGGAGAACCCCCCCACCTCCATTATGGAGAATAGAGATCCACCTGTCTCCAATTCGTGGGCTGCTCACCATGTTGCCTCCAAGTAGTTCCCTGCGCGCATTCATTAATTTTCTCAATCATTTGATTCTAATGTCTTCATCTCTTCGAGAAATCGAATATGGACAGTAGAAAGCCCTAGGCAAATTTGGTCCTAAGCTATCAATATCCATGTCACCTTTGATAAACATCAGATTAGGCACACAATCCTTTGGGAGCTTCTGTTGAAGAACATAATGGTAACATAGTTAGCAATAGTTTAGCTTAAGAAGAATGTGTATGAAAAAGATGGACTAGTGACACAATAGTAAAAAAAACTTACCAGGCTATCTCCATGGATGTAAGCATAGTTCAGCATGTGGACTAGTGGCACTTATTGACCATAAAGTGGGCTACTTTCATAAGTGATGTTGAAAGTCTCAACATCATTAATAAGTGATATAAGATAATTTTTCTCCTTCCAATTCAGTTCGGAGCCATAACTTTAGTAGGTATTGTCTACTACCTTCCGTATATTTCTTGTAGAATGAAAATAAGTTGTCAACTATTTTTAAATAAACAATATAAATTACTCAACAAATTGTTTTGACTAACTCACATAGAGGTAGAACTGGAAGCATATCCACAACGACTCAAATGTCGATATAATCTTCAATATCATCTTCAGGACAAATATCAAAAGTTATTTTAATATCCTCATTAAATCCATATGCCTTGCATAGTCCCGTCCAATTAGAGCAACCCAAATGGGCGTGGTTTACCACATTGTATAGCTTAACCTCAAAGGCGAAACCATGCTTCGTCCTCAGGTGAGCTGTCTTTGTCTCCATACTCTCATGATCTTCAAAACCGAGATAATCCAAGACATATGGTCTTGCATGTTAGGGGATGCACTAGTCGAATTGTAAAAAACAGAAATTACACGTTGAAGCAAAGAAGCACAAGTCATGCTTAATTACAAAAAAAATGTCATCGTTACGTACCGTAAAAACTTCAAAGATCTCGTCTAGTTTGATGGTGAAGCACCTATCGTTTTCTAGGTGAGGCCTGTCACATATACCCCGGTCGTCGATGTAGTATTCACACTCAGGGATCCTATCGTCGTCAGAAATTTCCTATGTTGATAATTCAAAGATTAAAAATTGATGGCAATTATCAGGAACTCAACGCACAGATCACTATTCAGCACTGGTGTATATGGTGAGCACTCGCTCTCTAATATTGTGATAGTTAGTGATGGTCGCTCTTCCTTTCTTTCCAAAGTGGATTACACCAAAATGTCTAGCACCTTGGAAAGAAAGAGAAGCGACCCCCATGACAACAGTCGGGATTCTTCCTCTCTGATATTTCGACTGTCAGTGATGGTCATTACTCCTTCCCATAGTGCATTACAAAGGTCTAGCACAAGAAGAAGGATAAATGACCCCACCGACCCCAATACAACACTCGGGATTCTTCCTCTCTCATATATGGAGCAAGGAGCCCCAATACACTGAAAGTCAACCCCTTACATGTATGGAGCAATGGCATAAAATGACATATGTTTGCCAGAATGTCGCTTTTCTTGTTCTGGCAAATCACGAGCACTTGATATTTCCTACTTTCATAGCACAGGTCATGATAAAATTCACGAAAAATTTCAGCATGACCTTTCCTAAAATAGGACATATCGAGCGTCTGAAATTTGCCGGAACGGATATGATCAACATTGCAGCATAACATAGGCCACTCGGAGGTGTTCCCTGCAAAATCATACACATGTCCAAAGGAACAATCAATACATGTCCAATATCCATCTTCTACACATCAACAAATGTCCAAAATCATACTCATTGTTGATCAAGTACAAGCTCTTCATCTTTAAATCAGAAATATATATACCTCAGTGGTCTTCTGTAGGTTGTTCTTGAGGTTCTGGTTATCCTCCTTCGTGCACCTCCTCGCTTCTTCACACTAGTTTCTCTGCTTCAAAACAAAATATGAAATTAAGATACGAATTTCGATCATCAAATCTCATATAGCATTCTTTGATGACAAAGTGAGAATGACATAAAATAATTTGTAATAAATTGGAAACAACATTTGTATATTTTATTTGATACCTAAAATATTTAAAGGTATTTGGTCAACAAAAATACCTAAAAATATTTTATTCGATACCTTAAACATTTTTATATTCAGAAAATCTATTCGATTACTAGTTTTCTATTCTATTCAAAAGACCATTCTACCTATCTGTATTATACAATAAAATTCACACTACTGCCTACTACCATTCTACCTATCTATTCCATTCAAAAAAACCCGCATTCTACCTATATTTCCTATTCTGTTCTATTCAAAATACGTACATTCTGTTCTGAAAACCTAAATTTTCTATTCTGTTCAAAAAACCTACATCCTACAAGCAAATTCTACCATTCTACCTACCTACCACACTACTGCCTACTACCATTCAACCTATCTACCATCCTACCAATTTAGTGGAAGAACAGAGGGAGGAGGGAGGGAGGGAGGGAGGGAGAGCTATCGAGGGAGGAGGGAGCGGTGGCGGAGGCGGGTAGCGACGATGGCTGGCCACGGTGGCGGAGCGCGCGAGAGAGGTAGGAGAGTGACTGATGAGATGAGGAAACAGACAACCGTTCGGGAACAAGGTCAGCTTAGTAGTAGCGTGGGGAAGACAATCGGCGCTACTGCTATCTTTTTAGCAGTAGCGACGGGTCCATGGACACCGCTGCTACTATAGGCAGCCCCGGTGGGTATGGTGGGGTCCACACATCAGTAGCGCGGGTTGTCATGCCCGCGCTACTACTATGGGCTTACGTGGCGCCGGCCCATTACCCCACACTACTTTTAAGCCTCTACCTATAAGTTATTTCCTAGTAGTGTCTGTTGTTAATTAATCTGAGATTTTTCTTCTAGATTTATGATATTTTTTAATCATATTCAACGTTTAAATGTTATTTCCAGTCATACCATTTGCTGCATCATGCTTGAGCACTTCAGGCGTGTGACGTTGTCTTACTAAATTGTTAATATCTCCACCATCACATGCACGCAATCTTCTCTTTGGCTTAATTGCTGCAAGCGTATATCACCTAATTTCTCGCATTTTCTCTCCAAGAATTGATTGAGCCGTAAGACAACTTGCATACTGTATGAATTATTTGTCGATGTACCAAGGAGGCTGTGGTTCTTACTTTTATTCACATCAGGACTTCCTCCTGCGATGGGATTCCTATCTAGACTTGGATGCTCATATCTCATTTGGCACTAATATTTCTGCATTTGCATTTTACTCTAACTGCACATTTGGCTGGTGTGGTTTCAAATACCATATTCGGCTAGTAGAAAAAAACACACTCAAAAGTCACATCTACTTAATACTGATACAGTACAAAGGTTGTGCACTTTGTTTTGGTTCATACTACAATAGGGAGACTATTTATGTAACTCCCATACAAATTTGTTAGAAATTGTTGTCGTTTCTGTACTAAGATTAACTGATGAACCCATCCCCCGTCATACATAACCTCTGTACCTAGCTAAATACTTTGAATATCCAGTGGTCCTCCGATACTCTTACATTACATACATAATATTTAATTTATTATTTTAACAAAATTATACTGCAGGTATTTGATCATAATTGATGATATATGGGATGCACAAACATGGAAATTTTTGGAATGTGCTTTTGTCAAGAGCGGTCTTGGCAGTAGAGTAATGAGCACAACACGTAATAATGATATAGCAAATGCATGCTGCTCTTGTGACAGGGATCTTGTCTACAAGATCAAACCACTTAGTGATGCTGACTCAGCAAAGTTATTTTTCAAGAGAATATTTGGTGATGAAGAAAGTTGTCCTTCTAGCTTGAAAGAAGTCTCAAAAGATATTTTGAGAAAGTGTGGTGGTTTGCCACTGGCTATCACTGCCATATCTAGCTTATTGGCAACTGGGAAAACAGAACAGGAGTGGAATCAGGTTCGGAGTTCTATTACCTCTGTTGAAGGCAAAAGTTCTGATATAGAGGCTATGAAATACATTTTATCTCTGAGCTATTTCGACCTTCCGTTCCACCTAAGAAGTTGCCTACTATACCTTACTATGTTTCCTGAAGATTATGAGGTTCAAAGGAAGCGGTTAGTACACAGATGGATTTCTGAGGGTCTTATCCGTGGCAAAGACAGAGAAGATCTTGTTGAATTGGGAAATACGTATTTCCATGAGCTTATTAACAGATGTTTAATACAACCGGTGGAAGTAAAATATAATGGTAAGGCATCAAGTTGCCGAGTCCATGACACCATCCTCGATTTCCTCATTTATATGTCTGATAAAGAGAACTTTTGTACTTTGTTAAGCAAGAAAGCAAAGCCAAATCGCAGAATTCGTCGAATTTCTCTGATGGGAAATGAAGATCCAGAAATTATCGAGCAATTGGATTTATCACATGCTCGATCACTTGGTGTATTTCAGTCTACCAAACAATTGCCTTCCCTTGTGAAGTCAGATGCTATGCGTGTGCTGGACTTAAGATGGTGTGCAGAATTGGGAAATCATGTCAAAGATATTGGGAGACTTATTCAGTTGAGATACTTGAACATCAATGGTGTACGTGTAACTGAGCTTCCTAAACAAATTGGAGACTTGGAGTATCTAGAGACACTTATTACGGATCCCAATCTTTCTGTGCTACCTGAATCAGCTAGTCGGCTAAAACGCCTGGCTCGTCTGTCTGTTGGAAATAGCACTAAATTGCCGGATGCGTTTGGAAACATGGAGAACTTGCAAGAGCTTTTGCAAATAAACCCCTTTATTCAATCACCGAACTTTGTAGAAGAGCTTGGCAAACTAATAAATCTAATGAAGCTGAAAATTATGTTGAGGTCAGGCGGATTTGCAAGCTATGAGGAAAAATGTATAGTATCCTCTCTCTTTGAGTTGGATAACTGCAACCTTCGCAAGCTGTCTATTACATTTTAGTGGGGAGTAGAGGATGGCTTCATAAGAGATATGTGCTTCCCAAGTCTCAATTGTGTCAAAAACATTTGTCTCTGGCATAGAGAAACCCATTTGTTTGCCAAGTGGTTGCTTTCACTTTCCAACCTGCAGAAATTGTACATCAACGATGGGAAGATAGAGCAACATGATGTTGAGATGATTGGAACCATATCTACCCTGGTCAAGTTTGAGTTGGTAATACACAGTGAATATTCCATCAGCATCATCATCAGGAGTGAGGGATTACAACAGTTACAGATGTTTGTACTCTGGTGGTTTAGTGGGTTGAAGTTTGAAGCGGGGTCTATGCCTAGTCTCAAGGTCCTTGAACTCGATGTTCACGTGCATAAGTTAAAAGATTCTGCTAGTGATTTTGATTTTGGTATCCAACACCTCGCCAGCCTTGCTAGCCTCCATGTTGATATATTCTGCTTGAGAGCGAAGGCGGCGGATGTGGAGGCTCTGGAGCATGCTTTGAAGAGCATGGTGGAGGCAAACCCGAACCATCCTGCATTGGAAATACGTAAATCGTGTGAAAAGGACATGTTACCAGATGAGTTATAAAAGGACCGGACATGTACTGGATATGATGGATACACATGTTGCATCCGATTGCTAGTAGAGCTGAAGAAACTCTTGCCGATTTACTCGTTTGCATTTCAGTCCTCCTAGGCTGGGACCCGTAGATTAGTACATTGATGTAGCGAATATTTGATGTTGTAACCATGATTTTCTACTGTTATTTCCCTTGTTATTAAGACCTCCCAGTAAGATTGAATTGATTACGGGTGTTCCTGGTTGCAATAAGGATACTGGATGCGTTGTTATTGTTCGTTTTTTCGGGCTTGTGCATCTCTTCCCAGCAAATGCTCTTGTAACATGTGGCTTCCCTTCTGTTGGAGATGGCCGTGTCATCCGCCTGCCATGGTGCACCACATCAGCTCTTGGACGACGTACGTGGATCTTGACAGTCATCATGTTAGCCATAGCCGCACTTGTGCTCAACACATGTGGTCCGTCCCGCTTGTCCAGAAGTGTTCATCGGTGGCAGTTGTTATTCTGCTGCATTGGTACTATGCGGCCTTAGCACGACGACTTTCTGACTGTCTACTACAATAAGTTTTGTCCGGCTCCGGCAAAGGAGGAGCAATGATGGCGGCACGCCTTCGGCTCGCTTCAGTGCTTGTAGTTGTTGCTACGTGGTCTACGGATCTGCATGTAATTTTTGTTATGTCTTGTGTTCGTTGTACCGCCATGATTAAAAATGAATAGATCAGAAGTTTTCTCACAAAAAAATGCTTTTGAACCAAAAGGGACCGCAAAAGCCATACCTGGCTTATTACGAGGTATAGCGCGTGCTCATTCCTGTTTCTTTTTAATTTTTGGTTTTCCTTTTTTTTCTTCTAATCTTTTAACCTTTTTATTTTATTTTATTCTATTCTATGGGGTAAAATACACGACATTATCTAGACCTACATGAAAACTTTGTTCTCTTAAATTTTAATAACTTTTACATATTTTTCAGTCTGAAGAATATACGAACCTTTTACAAAATATGTGTACAATTCTTCAAAATACAACTCACCTTAACAACGAATGCGTGCATACTTTGAAAAACTACATGCATTTTTAAAATGTGCAAATATCTTTTTTAGTGCATCATTTTTTTTAAATACGTAAAGACTTTTTAAATTACATATACATTTTTAAAATACGTTCAAGTTTAGTCGGGTTACACTATCACTATTTTTTAGATACATGATGAACACTTCTTCAATACCCGATGAAATTTTTTAACACGCAACGAACATTTTTAAAATTGAGGTGAAAGTTTTTTCAATACACAAGGAACGTTTTTTTTAATTCAAGAAGAATAGTTTTTAAAATATATAATGAACATTGTCTTAATCTGATGTACAAGAACAGTAGTAAATAAAAATAATCTTATCAAATATATGTTGTTAAAAACATTTCAAAATATTTTTTTGAGAAAACAAAAAATAGGAAAAGAACAAACAGTAAAAAATACTTATCCTGCATTAAACTAGCGATTAGACACCCCGCACAATTTTTTAGGGAGTGAACATTCTAGAAGTTTAGGAACAACTCGTGGGAGAAAATTGGTAAGAATGTGCATGCTTCATGGTCGGCCCAACATGTGTGTCTGTAGCGAAGATAATTCCTTATAAAGCACCAAGGTTTCGGTCCAGTACACTGAAGCCTACGGAGAAAGCCTACACGATTGATGTGGCCCCCTGGTGGCCCACCCACTGGTATTCTCTTGGTGGTAAGTATCACACACCAATACGCACAATTGACGTGTCCAACAATAATCCAGCTGGGTAACTACAACTTTTTGCTGATGGCTCCTGCGACCACGCGCCCGCCGGCGGCGGCGCCCCATTGGTCTCCTTCCTCCGGCCACCATTCCAGCTGGCGAGACCAGATCCGGGATGCTCTCCGCATCCTCTCTCAGCTGCACTCCTTCTCCCCTCCAGGCTCTCGCTGAGCTGCCCATGGCCCTCGTGTCCGCATCGTCGTCTCCAGCTCCATCGGCCGCCTCGGCTGCTGCCACCCCACTGGTCGTGGCTGCTCTTGCCGCCCGGAGTGCCGCCCGGCAGCTGGTGGCCGTCTATCCTGCGCCGGACTCCCGCCACGATCGGATGATCGTACCCCTGGCCTGCTGGATGGAGGGCTTGGATGTCTTCCGTCCTCGGCCTCTGCTGACCTTGCCTCTGCCAGCGCCGCGCCGTCAACCCTGACTGCTGCTGTGGCACCGACGGCGGCCACTTCCGGCACCACCGGTCGCCGCCCTTGTTGCCATGGCCGCGGTTCCCTCTGCTGGCGCCTCCACCGGCTTGCTGCTGCTGCCCCCATCGTCGGGCCCTATTCAGACGGATCTGGAAACAGAAGCTCTGTTGCGCCCCTCCTACGGGCAATTGCGTGCCCCTGCCCAGATGGATGGGGGGCTGGCTCCTCAGACGCTACTGCTGCCTCCGACGCCGGTCGTGCCGGCGCTTGTGACAGATGAGGCGGCAGGAGTGCAGGGAGCTCCCAATGCTCTGGCGGAGGCACCAGAGAAGTTGGGCTCTCCTCTGCTTGGTCCATCTTCAGTGTCGGCATGCAACAGCCCCTCTGCTGCCACAGCCGTTGTTGTAGCCGGGGTGAGCTGGGTGCATGTGGGTCGGGGGCGCCGTTCCGGCCGACGCGCTTCCCCCGAGCCGTCGAGGGAAGGTCTCGAGCGTAGCCTCGCCTTCAAGCGTTGGGCTCGAGGAAGGTGCTTCCGTTGCCTCGAGCGTGGCCACCATGTCAGTGCATGCCATGAGCCATTCAGATGCATTCGCTACCGTCGCACTGGTCGTTGGGAGAGGTTCTGCACTACTCACTCTCCGGTTTCTTGCGATCGCTCTTCGGTCGCTCATGGTGGCTCTCTAGTACTTGCGCTCCTCGTCAGCGGAGCCGCTCCCCGTCCGACCAGCCTTGTCCTTCCCTGGCCAGGAGTTCGGCTGAGGTTGTCCACTCGTCACTATTGTGTCGGTGCCGCCAAGGTCCCAATCTGGGTGTTGCAAGGATTCCAATTTCCGCACCTCTTTGGTCTCTGCTTTGGAGTCGTAGCTTGCCCTGCTGCGCACGGAGCTCCTTCAGGAGGTTGAGCTGCTCCACACTGAGCTTTGCGACGCTCTAGCCAAGTTTGAGGTTGCGTCAGTTGTGCCTTTGCTGCCTGAGCTCCAGGTTGGTTCCATTGATGAGGATGTTGAATGTTGCTTTGGAGATTTTTCTCCTCGTGCTCTGCATGTGACGCCGCTTGTTCGTGGGAGTGCGGTTATCACCGAGGTCGTAGCTCCAGTTCTGCAGATTCTACCTGAGTTGCAGGAGCTTTGTGGGGAATCATCTATGGTGTTACCGATGGAGTTGAGCGCATTGCAGTCCTTGGTATTGGCCATGATACCTTCACTTCCACCATCACAGTCCCGTCAGCCGCCCGCCTTTCCGGGCTATGGAGACTTGGTTGGTTCTGTCAATGCCTCATCTATGGCCATTGGGCATGTGGCGTTTTTTAGTGGCGAGGTTGATGAGATAGGTGTGTTGGCACCTAACTCTGCGGCTCTATCATGCGAGCAACTGGAGACGCCCGAGTCCATCGTGTCAGTGGTTCCAGTGACTGATGATGTTGAGGCGGTTGGTGCATTGGCGCCTGATCCTTCGGAGCCCAACCAGCCGCTCGCCTTTGTGGAGCATGGAGGTTCCGATGTTGCAGTCACCCACTCGCACGTGACCGTTGGGCAGGTTTCTGTGCGTGACAAGTTCAATGAGATTCTCTTCGAGATAGAGCTTCACAGCTTGCTAAAACGTTTGGAGAGGGTGAGCCCTGGATCTGGCAAGGCGATTGTGGAGGAGGCTCTCAGGTGCAAAGGAAAGAAGAGTGACGCCACAGGAAAGGTGTCCGTAGCTGCTTGATGGATGGTTACCAGTCTCTTGGGTTGTCCTTATGGTCTGACTTGTCTTCGTGGATTTGGTGGTGCTCGTGGTCTTCAGCCGAGTTACTCTTGTTGGGGTGTCTTCGTGATGTAGCAGTGTGCGGGTTGGTGGATGTTAGGTGTTGAGTATGGTGGTCACTCTGTGAGTAGTCCACGTGTGGTTGGTCTGTATCGGTTTTCGCCTGGTTTTCTGGTAATTAACTAGGCAATTCTCTTCTGCTTAATTAATTGATGAGACAAATCTTTTGACTCTGTTTCAAAAAAATTTGATGTGTCCCATGTGTCAGCCTAGCAAAGCAAACCATGGCATAACCATAACCATAGTAACTAGATGATACCCTGCACGTTGCAGCGGGAATATGTTGCAATATACTTCAAAAAGATTTAGTTATATGAATATTTTGATTAATAAAAATGCATATTATATACTGCATTTGATTGTTGTATAGTTGAAACATATCTATTGAATATTGGTAGTATAATATAATGAAAAAAACGATGTAT